GGGGGGGGGACTAAGAGTTAAAACAATAAACAAGAATTCTCAGATCCAGACATTTTACAAGATTAACCATGAAAAGGTCGGGAAAAGGGGATATTTATATTTATTTATATATCTCTAAAGCTAAATGTGAACAAATATATTGAATCTTTAATGACAGGCTTATTAGAGAATCGTTTTTTTTCAGTTCAAAAAATTTAATGTTTAGTTTTTTTACCCTTTGATATTAGGTTTTCCCTCCGATTTCAATATTAGATTATGCCAAAAAAAGATGATGTAAAAATAAAATGTTGTTTTCAAGAAAATTTAAGTAACTTATTCTTTCAAAAACTAATCAATTATGTTTTTCCCCTGATTTAGACACAACGACGTCAAATTATAAAAAGTTGTATTTTTACATTATTTTGTGTTAAAAACAAAAATTGCGTATTTTCTTGTTATTTTTCGGCGGTTTTGTTCCCGCAGTTTTCCGCTAAATATTTAGATTGTAAATCTTGGTTGAACAAACCGCTCTCTACTCTCTTAAAAAGCAACTATTGATACTGGATGATTTTATTATTATTCTGAGCATTTTTTTTGAGGGTTAAAGATTGGCAATGAAAAAAAAATGAATTTTTTATTTGTCGATTTCCATTTCTGCAGTACGTATATTTAACACGCACCTCTGATCCATCAGTAAAAGTAAATTCAATGACAATACTCGGCTTTGTTTTAAATGTTAAAAGATAATTTCCCTCCCGGGAATGTGAAAGAAATATGTTTAAGTTAATTGGTAAATTCAACAAGAAATATTTAAATGAATGGAATTGGAAACTTGTAGATTTTAGAACAATTCAGATCAAATTAAGCATTTCTTAGAAATTTAAAATATCCCTCAAGTTACTTTTTTCTCAATTTTGAAGAGTGCAGCATATTACTAATCATAAATAGTATAATTTTTTCATGTTCTATGTCACAATTCTTCAAAAGCTCTATAAAGATTAATTCTTAAAATAATGACAATTCATTATATAACTGTTCATTAAAGTTAAAAAGTATGAATTTTATACAAGGGGTATCAGAAAACTGGGAATTCTCAAATAAAATATTTCTAAAAATTAGCCCTAGGCCTGAAATTAAAACAAAATTATTGATTAGAAATAATAGTATCTTGAGCGACATTTCTTTGGTTAAAAACAGATTATTTAGTTCATAATTTTCAAAAATATTTATCGAAAAAATTACAAAACACAGTTTTTAGCGAGTAAAATTACATTTTTAAATTATTTTTGAACTTAAAATATTAATGTTTGCTACAACATGTGACAAAAATAATTGTCATAACAAATTAACAGAAACTTCATAATATTCAAATTAATCTAAGTTTAATTCAAAAAGAATTCATTTATGTTTCTACGTTTTTGATTTATTTTTTGTGCTTAATGTCCATAATTTGCGTAATTACTTACGCAATAAAGGAATTGAGCCGTTGCCACAAACTTTGATTTTCTAATCCCCTTAACTTTGCAACCCAATGAATTGTAGACCTTTGATATTTCAAACTATGAATTATGTTGAATCAAATAATCTAAATTTGAAATATTTTCACCAAAAGCAAACAAAAATATAATAATTAGAAAAACTGTGTTTGTGGCAAAAACTCAATTCCTTTGGGCAGAACATTTTAAACTCAAGGTAGTGCAAAATAAAGAATCAAGTTCATAAAAATGCAAGATTATTTCATATCATGTTATTGTTACACTTACATTATCATTACACATTTTGAAATTCATTGAAAAAATTACTAAGTAGCAGAAAGAAACTTTAGGCGAAATTTCAAGTAACCCTACATCGTATAGAGTAGCATGTCTAATTCACAACGCTTTATATGTAGGGGTACCCCGCAGTCATACCAAGAGAAAAATAAATTTCCTTCTTTTTCTCTTTGAAAATCGATTTATTTTAACGGAGGATCAATTGAAATTGTGTCTTTAGTCCCTTTAAAATCGAATTAAAGCTGAGTTAATTAAAACCAATATGGAAGGAAATTGAATTAATCAGAAATATGTTTAATCTCCTGTAAAAATATGTTTAATCTCCTTTGGAAATTCACGATTTCAAAATTGACTAATTCTAATCGAAAGTTATTTATTCAAACTACATTGATAACTGTTGAATGCACTTTTATGTTTAAACTTTTATATAAATATATGTAAATATACAAATACTTACTTTCCAGTGAATGAAATTAAAAAATGTGTTTTTTTCTGCATTAGAGAACTACAAAAAAATCTTTTCAAAATTCAATAAGTTTTGTATAAGCTCCTCCCCCCCTTATATATTATGTATATATATGTATGCATAATAGGATTTCAGAGGTTTAATTAGGATTCCTAATATGGCTTCCTAATAGCTCTACAATAGATTAGGTTTCTTCAATTCATTAATTCATTAATTCATTTTTCATTCATTTTTTCATAATTATTCTAATTCTGTAAGATTCCTAATATATAAGTAAACGATAGTTATATATTAGTTTTATATATCCAACCACAGCGCTCGGTCCCTAGCTTGTTTTATTTACAGCGCTTGGCCAGGAACTTTTCTTTTCTGTAGTATTGGTAAACAAAATATGTCACTTTTTATTTGGTGACAACAGCGCTCGGTCCCTTTTACAACCTTTTTCACAAACAATTTATTCGGATCAAATCTGTAAAAGAATATTTGCCATTTAAAATTTGAGATCGAAAAACGATTTTTTTCGATTTTTAAAAAATATTGACGCCCAGCAATTGTATTTAACCAAACCAAACTTGAAATCACAGTTAAACGAGAATAAACAGAGGTTGGGTTATAAAACGCACAAATATCTAATTTAATACTTTTAGACTTCGAAATTTATCTCTATCCATCTATTTAGTTATTTATCCATCCGTGTATATATATCTATCTATCCAAATATCTAATTATCTATTTATCTTTTCTATATCTTTATTCTATCTATATGTTCTATGTTTGTTTAGGCGATTGGTAGTTCGCAGAACCTGTCTGTGATTGTGTCAAGAAGAACAGAAGGAGAATATTACTGTCATGGGATAGCGGAGGTATTATATCAGGGAGGAGGGATGTAGGGGGGGGGGGTTTCGGAAAAAGGACAGGAAAGGAGAAGGATTAAAGGGGAAAGATAAGGATCACAAGGAAAAGGGAAAAATTAAGGAATGAATATAAAAGCAGGAAAGTTCACGGGGGGGGGGGGTAAGGGGAGGGGTTAAGACAAGGAAAAGGGAAACAGTATTTCAAATCATTTTTTGAAAATTAGATGTTTAAAGGAAATATGTATCTTTAACGACTGAGCCTTAATTGTTTGCATATTTCTTGAATATTTTTTTTTCAATAATTCTGTTTTACTGTATAATCTTTATTACATCAAATAATTTTGAAATGAATCCTCAAATGTCATGCAAATATGAATAATTAATAATAAAAGATAATTAAGACCGAGCTTTAAATAAATAATATTTTGATTAATTGAATTTAAAAATTGAAAAAGATATATTTAGGAAAACTATGATGTATTTTTCATTGAAACCAATACCTAGGGGTTTGATTTGGTGACAGCTCATCCTGCTCGCATCCTTCAGATGGATAAACCATTCATTCATTCTCCTCAGGTAATTCATCCTTCAGATGGATAAACCATCCTTTCATTCTCCTCAGGTAATTCATCCTTCAGATGGATAAACCACTCATTCATTCTCCTCAGGTAATTCATCCTTCAGATGGATAAACCACTCTTTCATTCTCCTCAGGAAATTCATTCTTCAGATGGATAAACCACTCATTCATTCTCCTCAGGTAATTCATCCTTTCGTTTGTGTGGGAGTGCGACCCAATGATTATCATTGTCACGTGTGATACAGCCGGACATCACGTGACCAACTGAACTGCCATTGGCCAAAGTTCTGGTGACGTAAAACGAACTATATGTAATAATATTATCAATCATATCTATTAAAAATGCAAAATGCAAAATAAAAATTTATAATAAGAGCAGACGTGAGATTCTCAGGCTCCTGTGGGATATCGTCGTTTTCAGATTGGTTGCGTATTTGTTGAAGATGATCTGTTTAATATTACAACTTTTATACAAAATTGCATATTTATGAATTTTCGTATAAATTTAACACAATTTTATATCAATTTCTCGAGACAGGCACATCAGATAAATGTCTTATAGGTATCGTTCAACGTCTGAGATTCTCAGATTTCAGCCTAGACCCCCTTTCATTTTTCCTTTACAGTCCCTTTAATAAGAAAAAAGATAGTTGAATTGTTTAACAGAAAGATAGATAGATGAACCATTAAAAAAAATGTTGGAAAGATACAAATAGTTTAACAAAAAGATAGTTAAATAAATAGTAGAACAGAAAGATATGTAGATGACTTGATGAGCAGAACGATAGTTAAAAAGACAGATAGAGAATCTGTAAGGAGGAAGTAGGTGTAAAGTTACAAAGATTAAGATCAAGAATCAAAACTTACAAACTCATATATTTGTTAGTTGATACATCTCTAGATATCTATCTATCTGCCTTTCTATCGTTCTATCTATCTTTCTATCTACATTTTTATCTTTATCTATCTTCTATCAGTCTATCTATTCATCATGAAAATAATTAACATACATTTTTATTTTCTTTATTACATCAAAATTATATATATATATATTATATATATACACATTTATGGTTTAAAAGTATTATTGTTTGACTGCAATTAAATACATAATGTACAATAAAACATTTTCTGAAGGTTTTGTTGCACTAATTATTCAAGTACATAGAAGTTTATTTGTATTCATTTATAATAATAAAACAAAATTCCCGCTCCTTCCCCTCCTTCCCCTCCATTCCCCCCCCCCTCCTCAATTCCTCTCTCCCCAATGCTGAAATTAAACTTGAATAAATGTGTTAATGTTAAACTACAGGGCAAAGATAGTTTATTTTGATTTGTTTAAATATAAGTGTTTTCTTTTTTCTCTATGATGCGTTTTAAAAAACTTGGGGGGGGGGTAACGATTCACTCTTTTTTACCTTGTAAATTTTCGATCAAGGAAAATGGTATTTTTAGTCTTCAAAGAAAATATTAGATTATTTTCTTATTTTCTCTAAAACAAATTAGAAAAAAAAAAATTGAGGCATTTTTTAATACTGGTGATGCACATTTTAATGCTGGTGATGCGTATTTGAAAATAAACAGAAAGTTCAATTTTCGACATAAGGTTTCAAGTTTATCACGTGTTTTAAGCCATGTTTCAATATTTTAAGCAAACACACTTTACATATTCTTGTGTTTACATTCAATAAATCCTTCATTCCTTCCACCCATCCCTCTTTCTTCATTTTAGTTTTTCTTTCTTTTTTTCTTTCTTCTTTCTTTATTTTCTTTCGTTCCTTCCTTTCACCCAACCCCTTTTTTTGTTTTAGTTTTTATTGATTTTTGTCTTTCTTCCTTTTTTTCTTTTTCTTTCCTTCCTTCCTACTTTATTTTTTCCTCATTGTTTTTTTTTCTTCTAGAATATATAAGTGAAAGACCAATGCTCTCTTAGCATATTGGCCTAATCAAAACAATTCAGAAACTCAGGTTATCATTTACCTGTTGCAGCATGTTAAGATTAGATTTTTAAATAATTTTTTACTCAACAACTCTTTATACAAGGAGTTTTGTTTGTAATTTTTTACTCAACAACTCTTTACACAAGGAGTTTTGTTTGTAATTTTTTACTCAACAACTCTTTACACAAGGAGTTTTGTTTGTAGTTTTTTACTCAACAACTCTTTATACAAGGAGTTTTGTTTGTAATTTTTTACTCAACAACTCTTTACACAAGGAGTTTTGTTTGTAGTTTTTTACTCAACAACTCTTTATACAAGGAGTTTTGTTTGTAGTTTTTTACTCAACAACTCTTTATACAAGGAGTTTTGTTTGTAGTTTTTTTACTCAACAACTCTTTATACAAGGAGTTTTGTTTGTAATTTTTTACTCAACAACCTCACTTCTTGAAACAGTTTAAACGTTTCAAAGCAGACTTGTTTTCTTCGAAATTGTAAAACTTTAAATTTGGCGGATTTTTCTGCAAACATTATTAGATTTATAAAAATCATAAACCTACTCTGGGGTCTTGTAAACATTATTAGATTTATAAAAATCATAAACCTACTCTGGGGTCTTGTAAACATTATTAGATTTATAAAAATCATAAACCTACTCTGGGGTATTGTAAACATTATTAGATTTATAAAAATCATAAACCTACTCTGGGGTCTTGCAAACATTATTAGATTTATAAAAATCATAAACCTACTCTGGGGTCCTGTAAGTTGCCACAAAAAATATAGACCCTATCGGTTCAGCTGTTTTGGTGTTTATCGGAGACAGACAGAAAGACAAACAAGAAAAACTTATGTAGAAGATAAGAGTGTAAATTATAGTACTGAATCAATATTCAATATGACAACGATCAAGGTTGCCGTTTTGTGACGTAATTTATTGATCCGTGACCATAACACTGGGCCCCGGCATTGCCTTCCCTTTCTCCATTTATTTATCCATTCCTCCCTCTGAATATTGGATACAAGTTTTATATCAATCCATATTTGCATACTTCTATATTTTATCTGTCCCAACAGATCTAAAATATGCATATCTAGATACTTTACTATTTATTCATGTATTTACATATTCACGATATATTTCCCACGCGGAAAATATTAATCGGACATTTTCTTTTTATCTTCTTTGTTCTGGGCTCTTGTCATATAGACACGGGATGGACAAACTATTTATCTATCTATCTATCTATCTATCTATATATCTATCTATCTATCTTTCTATCTATCTATCTATTTATCTATCTATCTATCTATTTATATCTAGGTCCAGGAAGGTGTAGAAGGAAACAATATCCGTGTGGGGTGTGGAGGTATATCTGTCCCTGAAGCTACAGGGGTGATTTGGTCCTACATGGGGGTTAATATTGACCCAGGTAAATGGGGGAAGGTTGTGGTTTAGAGATTTTTTTTCTCAATTTTCTCGGTCTTTGTTTTTTAACGACTTATTTTATTCGTTTAAATCGTACGTTTAGTGAGGTCGTTTATTCAATAAAATTGTTAGTTTAATAACATTTTTCGTTCATTAGAATCCCCGTTTAGTAAAAACAATATTGTTTTTCTATAGTTTGTTGAAAATTAGATTGACTATCTAGATAAGGAAGTTTAAAATAAATAATTCATCTAACATTGCAAAAGGAAATTGCAAGTATCGAAAGACCTTTTATACGGAATTAAATATTTATAATTTCAACTCTGCAGGAAACTCAAAAATTATTTGGATTGAAGTCGTTTCTCATGCACCTACGCGTTTTATTTTATAAATTATCAATTTTTACAACATGATATATCATTTTCCCATATGACTAATTTTCAATTCCAGTTTGCCCTGGAAACTAAGTTTTCCCTATTAAAGTCAATTCACTCAAATTAGGACTTTCAAACCAAGCTAAAACTGTCTCCATGGTTCTACCGTGATCCTCATCAAAATTTGAGTTCCTGAGCTATGCTCGGAGATTTAAACAAACAGACTGACAGACAAACAAACAAAGATTATTACTTTATATACACAAAATAAAGGTGTTAGTTATTTTTCCCAAGGACATTTTTCCAATGGGTGACTTCTCCAATGGCAACGTCCCAAATGTGCAACTTCATAAAGGTTTAGTTAGGAATTCTGAGGCGGCAAAGGTTGCAATGGGGGCCAGGAGCTGCAACTAGGATGGGTTAGAGGGACGAGCACTGCGACTTGGGAATTTGCTGCTTGGGAAATTTAACTGTTGGGAAGTTAACACTTGGGAACTTAACCTTGGTATTGGGAAACATCCTTTGTGAAATTGCCTTACATCATAATAATTATTTAAATTTTTATCTTTATTTTTGTATTTAGGAAGTCAAAAATATGAAGTTTTGACATCATCTGAGCAAGGTTTTAGATTCAATAGCACTCTTCTTATAAGACATTCAGGTAATTAATTAATCGTTAATTAATCAATCAACTAATCATAATTAATTTATCATGCAGTTTATCAATATTTCATTCAGTTAATCAATTTATCAATCAATAAAGAATTCAAGCAGTTAAACAATCAAATAGAAAGATGAAAAACAATTTATAATTATATTAATTAATTAATCAAATAATGCGAACAAACAGTAAATCAATTACCTAACTCATAAATTAATATGATCAAATATTTACTCAATCAATGGCTTGATAAATTAATCAAAGGCACTTTGTGATTTGAAACGAATTGATAAAGCAAAGTGTGATGTTTAATTGTTTTAAAATTAATTATGTTGGTAACATTTAAAAGAGATATTCATAAGCGAAACAAAAATTGAATTAATGAATAATTTTAGAATATACGGATTTTGGTTACTATGGGTGTGCTGTAACCAATCGACTGGGGATGGACGAAAAATCTATTTTGTTAGAGAAAAAAGGTGATAATTTATATTTCATTTTCATAAATTTGATATACTAGTTTTAAAGGAAAATGTAGATTGCCGATACGACTTTTCACCCTGTTAACGCCCCTAGTTTTATTGTGTTATCCCTCTTCATTAGCTTTGACTTAATCGTCACTTACTTTATAGAAAAGATCCTAAAATTATGGACTTTGAATTACATATGCATAATATTAGTACACAGCAGAGTAGACTTAAATTCTTGCATTGTATCTATAGATACAGGTTTTATCTTATTTGAATTACATATATATAATTTTATACATTGTATTTATTATATGGGTTTCATCTTATTAAATCAAATTTTTCTAAGCTTTACATTTCCTTTAAATCAAAGTGTGGCGAAAAGCTGTCTTATCAATTTGGAAAAAGATAAAACCCTGATAAATACCTACATTTCTTAGTTTTATATGGAACAGTTTAAGAAAATAATTATTCATAGTTTATAGTTCCTTTCAGTTGAATAAGTCTTGTCAAAATTGATATTATTTCAATAGTAATTATATTTATAATTTTAGAAACAATACCAGTTCTTATGGTGACTACCACAGTGCTGAGTAGTCTTGCCATAATCCTGCTTGTAGTCTGTATAGTCCTCTACTTCAGGAATCCAAAGACTTTAATCTATAGCCTTCTTTCGGCCAAGACCCGTTATGAATGTTCTTCGTATGGTGGTTTCATTGCTCTGTGGACACTTCTTATGACTGTTTTATTGTCGGGGACCCTTTTTTATGCTGCTTAATTTAATTGTTCTTGACCATCCTAACAGCTGCTTTATAGGCGTAGACACTTCAATAATGACTGTTTAATATTTTTAGACCTTTCTTAAAATTGTTTATTGTCCTATTCCTTGATACTTCTTAATCATGATTGTTTTATTGTCCTACTCCTAGACACTTCTTATTCATGACTGTTTTATTTTCCTAGAATTTTCTTGTGACTGTATTGTTGACTTAGACACTTCTTATGAACCTTTTATGGTCGTTGACACTTATTATGACCGTTTATTGTCCTAAACGCTTCTTACGGCTGTATTGTTGGCTTAGACACTTCTAATAACCGTTTTTCGTCCTTGACACTTCTTATTACCTTTTTTTGTCCTAGACACTTCTTATTTCTGTTTTTTTTTGTCCTAGACACTTCTTATTTCTGTTTTTTTTTGTTCTAGACACTTCTTATTTCTGTTTTTTTTTGTTCTAGACACTTCTTATTTCTGTTTTTTTTTGTCCTAGACACTTCTTATTTCTGTTTTTTTTTGTTCTAGACACTTCTTATTTCTGTTTTTTTTGTCCTAGACACTTCTTATTTCTGTTTTTTTGTCCTAGACACTTCTTATTTCTGTTTTTTGTCCTTTATACTTCTTATTACCGTTTTTTGTCCTAGACACTTCTTATTACCGTTTTTTAGACACTTCTTATTACCGTTTTTTTGTCCTAGACACTTCTTATTACCGTTTTTTTGTCCTAGACACTTCTTATTTCTGTTTTTTTTTGTCCTAGACACTTCTTATTTCTGTTTTTTTTTGTTCTAGACACTTCTTATTTCTGTTTTTTTTTTGTCCATGACATTTTATAAGCCAGAATTGTAATAGGGGCATGCCCAATTTAAGACAGGACCCTCTAATTCCTAGCCTAATCAATAACGTTTTTCTAGCTTGAAAAGTGTGGAATTCTGTCAATCTCCTTCAATGTTTCTTGTAACTAAAATCCACAAGTCCTTTTCAGAGAATAGCCAAAATTGAAAATTATCAAATTTCAAAGTTAATCTACTGCTATCTTGTTTTTTCTTGGTCAAATAAGGCCTAATGGTACATTTGGAAATCTGACAATCGATGGCTGCACTTGAAACAGTCCCTTTAATAATAGTGTTGGATATAGAAGGATGAGATCTGCTGGGAATCAGATATCTGAGAAACCATTCAAACCTAACAATATGCCCAGGTAGAGCCTTCCAGGAACATAATTAGATTTGATTGAACAAAGAACGTATTCTTTTCTATCCTCTTGAATTTACATTTTTTAACGAGGACCGTCAGTTGAATTGTTTGTTTTCGTTTGTTCTAGGTTCGTTCTCATCAAAATTGTACTTTCGAAATTAGGTTTTTTTTACTAAGATTCTACCGAAACAAATCTATGAAGTCTAAATTTGAATTGTATTTTTACTGTTAATCTTTCTTTTCATGAAATGTTGACTATGACTGACAGCGTTCTATTTTTTTGCAATCTTATTTTTGACACCCTGAATTCCTTAAATGTTTAAAAATTGATATAAAAACTGTGCCAAACCATATATTTTTTAACAGCAAAAAATATTTAAAATTTTTTTTTATTTTATATTCTATTGAGAAAAATTTAAGATATATCTTGGTTTCCGCTTTGCAGGAAATATACAAGAGGAAGAAATATGTTTATGTATTCTTCATTTTCTAAGCTTGCATGTAATATGTAGCTATGCCACGGCTACAATCGGATAAATGCTTTAGTGCATTTTCCATTTTTCTATATATTTATATATTAGAAATTCTTTTCATCAAATTTATGTTGGTTGCTCTTTTTTTGTATACTTAAGGTTCCACGTGTTCCTGGTATAGTATTCCATGCGTTCCTGGTATGGTAATCCATGTGTTTCTGGCATAGTGTCTCATGTGTTCCGTAGAATAGGTTCTATGTGTTCCCTGGTATACTATTCTATGTAATCGTGGTAAAATGGTCCATTTTGTTCCTGGTATGGGTTCAAAGTGTTCCTGGTTTAGTGTTCCATGTGTTACTGGTATAGTGTTAAATGTGTTCCTGGTATATTGTTCAATGTATTCCTGGTATAGTGTTACATGTGTTCCTGGTATAGTGTTCTAGCTATGTGTTCCTGGTAAAGGGTTCCATGGTGTTCGAGGTATAGTGTTCCATGTGTTCCAGGTATAGTGTTCCATGTGTACCTGGTATATTGTTCCATGTGTATCCTAGTATATTGTTCCTTGTGTTCCTGATATAGTGTTCCATGTGTTCCTGGTATATTGTTCCACGTGTTCCCTATTATATTGTTCCTTGTGTTCCTGGTAAAGTGTTCCATGTGTTCCTGGTATAGTGTTCCATGTGTTCCTGATATAGTGTTCCTTGTGTTTCTTGTATCACTATCACATTAGGCTAGAATTCTATTTCCTAAAATGTGAAAGTTTAGAAATGAGGAATTATTCTGCTGTCGAACTAGGATCATATATTCTAACTTTAATCATTGTCAATATGTGTAAAATATTTTGGAAATTTTCAAAATATTAAATGTCTAACTTTCCTCTTTATTTGAAGAATTGTCTTTTATATCTTTCCAACTCCAGGGTTCACTGATTTTCTTCATTTCTTTTATTTACCTTTTGCAAAATTAGGACTGCCTTGCTCTTTAATTAATTTTCTTCTCTTAATCCTATCTCTGTGCTATGTTCAATCTGTGCTCATTTCAATCTGTGCAATTACAAATTGAATGTTTTTTAGAAAGCTCTTGGGCTATACTTCAAATTGTATTGTACAGTGAAGACAGTGATAGTTCAAGATATTTCTGTAAATATATCTAAAATAGCATGTAATGTAAATCCAATGTATCTAATGAAATGTTCTAAATATCTTTAAATTTATTTCATATATGTATTTACACATTCAATATGTTTATCAAGTTAATCCATATAACTATCAAATTTATCCCTATATTTATCAAGTTGCCCTATCAATTTTTCTCTATATCTATCTATTTGATTCCTATATCTATCATCGATTTGAAACTTTTATCTCTCAATTTGATTCCTATATCTTTTTAGTTGATCCTTATATCTATCAAGTTGACCCCTGTTTACATAAGTTGATCCATATATCTATCAAGTTGAGCCTATATCTATCAAGTTGATCCCTATATCTAGCAAGGTGATCCCTATATCTATTGTAGATGCTCCTCTGAGGATGAGCGGGGGGAATGGAATCAGGAAGACGACCTGTACACTACTCAGGATGTAAACACAAACAATGCAATGGAATTCTCACCCAAACCGGTATTTTTTTTAAATAATAAAATTTGGTTTCATGGTCGTAACTAAAGAACACGTACACCCCCCCCCCCGCAAAAACTTCTCGTCACTGGCCTGTTTTTTACGATACAAAAAAAACACTTTAATTTACACTTTTAGTCCCTTTAATTACACTTTTAGTCCCTTTAATAACAGTTTTAGTCCCTTTAATAACAGTTTTAGTCCCTTTAATTACACTTTTTGTCCCTTTAATTACACTTTTAGTCCCTTTAATTACACTTTTGTCCCTTTAGTTACACTTTTAGTCCCTTTAATTTCACTTTTAGTCCCTTTAATTAAACTTTTTTGTTCCTTTAATTGCACTTTTAGTCCCTTTAATAACAGTTTTAGTCCCTTTAATTACACTTTCAGTCCCTTTAATTACACTTTTAGTCCCTTTAATTTCACTTTTAGTCCCTTTAATTTCACTTCTAGTCCCTTTAATTTCACTTCTAGTCCCTTTAATTTCACTTCTAGTACCTTTAATTTCACTTCTAGTCCCTTTAATTTCACTTTTTGTCCCTTTAATTACACTTTTAGTCCCTTTAATTATGCAATTTTTGGGTAGAATTTATCTGTCAAAGATTTGAGTAACGAAAGTATGTAAACTATAGGATTCTAAAATGCACAAATATGAATGTCAAGAATTAATAAATGCGCAAATACAATTCTTACTGTACATATACTATACATATTGGTAGAATTGATGGTAAATCTAAACATTAAATTAGACTGAGTGAAGGCATACTATGAGTCTAGTAAATGTAGATTAAACTATTTTCAATCTTGTCTCCAGAACCAATATGTTGATTATATATTTTACATTTTCCACAGATTCATGGAAGACAAACTCAATTTATGGTATTAGCGGGCAAATAGACTAAATCAGGGCTTTGATTATGTATTTAATCAAGGGCCTATGATTAATTGATACATCAGGGGTCCCTGGATTTAAACTGCCAATACTGTTATTTTATAGTAAATCTACTACATGTCCCCTACAGCCCATTGAAATTCAAATTCAGGACTATATATTATAATGTTTCCCTTTGTATAGTTTTGTATTACTCTCTGAAGTCCTGAGTAGTCTCCTGATTACTAATTGTAGCCCACAGTAGTCCCGATTCGAGGACTATATATTATAATGTATCCCTCTGTATATTTCTGTATCAATCTTTGAAGTCCTGGGAAGTGTCCTAAATACTATTATTAGTCCTCCGTCCTCTTTATACTTCCCCACCCCTCCTCTCGTAATGTAATCTCCCCCTGGTCTTCATGGGGTTGCGGAAAGACATGGTAAACACTTGCATAATGCGTATAGCTAAGATGAAATTTAAGATGAAAGGGAAAGACTTAGACTAAGGTTAAATGTTTAAAACAGATTTTTTTAAAACTACTTTTTGAGGGGAAAACACCCCTTTACAAATGGGTACAATCTCATTCTTACCTACCACACCTGATTTTAACTGTTGCCCATAAATCCCAAAGGGGGGACATGTCCCCTGGGACGCCCACGGGGGGACAAGAGGACAAGTGCCACCCCCTGTATACGCGCCTGCATGATATTCCTTATTTTCAAGGGCCCTTTTTATAATTTCAAACATGTACAATGGTCCAAGGCCTACTCTGATTTAGAATCCTAATATCTTTGAAATCAAAGGCTGACATGAACAGGTGGAAAAATCTTGGGATTAGAAAATTTTGTTTGTTTCAAAGACTCAATTCCTTTACAGTTTATTTGTCAGTTTATTTGGCATTGTCATTTTGTTAAAATCTTGATCAGAAATGCGTCAAAACACCTTAAAATTCGTAACGTTCACGACTGAAATAGAAGAGGGTCCTCTTTTGTAATCAAATCCTTAAAGGGACAGAAAGGATAAAATCCTTAAAAGGACAGAAAGGATAAAATCTTTAAAGGGACAGGAAGGATAAAATTATTAAAGGGACAGTAAGGATAAAATTCTGAAAGGAACAGAAAGGATAAAATTCTTAAAGGAACAGAAAGGATAAAATCCTTAAAGGGACAGAAAGGATAAAATCCTTAAAGGAACAGAAAGGATAAAATCCTTAAAGGACAGAAAGGATAAAATCCTTAAAGGGACAGAAAGGATAAAATCCTTAAAGGGACAGAAAGGAAAAAATCATTAAAGGGACAGAAAGGATAAAATCCTTATGGGTCTGAAAGGATACAATCCTTAAAGGGACAGAAAGGATAAATCTTTAAAGGGACAGAAACGTTAAAATCCTTAAAGGGACAGAAAGGATAATTTCAAGTGAACCTCTATGCAAAGATGACACTGTCTAATATATAACGGTGCCCTTGAAACCCTTATCTGTTTGGAGACCAGGTGTTAGAGTGTTTAATTCTGTTTATTCCTTTATGTTTTCTGCATTACATAGGAATGTACTATGTCACTTTTAGTGAGAAACCACAATTGAAAAAATAATTGTTCGAAATTATAAACATTGATATCTAATTCATACTTGATTAGACAAAACTTATAAAGGTACCGTTGTGAATCCGGCATTGCCATTGCAAAGAGGACACTTGAAATTACTTTATCAGTCCCTTTAACTAAAATAAAAAACTGACAAAACATGACTAATGTTTATGTATCAATGAATGAGAAATTTTGTTAAAAATATTTTATTTATTTCATTTCGAAATTAGATTTAAACTTTTCCTTCTTTGAATTTCTTTTCTTATTTAAATTTGAAATATTATTAAACTTTTTGATTTCGTGAGATGAAAAAATTTTTCTTCTTTATTTTATTGGATTTAAATAGTATTAGATTGTGATGCATTCAAAGGATTAAAGTCGGGATTAACTTTTAAATGCTTTAAATTCAATTCAAACTTTTAAGTCAAACTATGCCTCCAAATTTAGGGAACTTATATTGCTTATTTTCTCAAAATAATTGCATTAAAGGGACTGTAAGCGTAATTTCGATTGTGAACCTTTATGCAGCGTTGGCAATGCCCGATTCACAACATGTACCCTTTGTTTGATGAAGTATGAAAATATATCAATGTTTATATATTTCAAAAACGAACTATTTTAATAATTCTTTTTGTATACAAGTTACTTGCGCATTACTACTGCAGAATAACATAAAGGAATTATAAGAATTAAATACTTGTAAGTCTAGAAAAACAACATAGTTGATTAGATAAAGATTTTAAGGATAATCTTGGCATGCAGGAGCACTAGAAAATACGATGAAAATTGTGAAATATTCAACAAATTTATTTTATAAAAAGATTCTAATTTTAAAGAGCCCCGATTTTTGCCCTTATGATAATAATGATAATAATGATACGAGATATGAAATCAAATATGAATATTTTTACAACACGAAACCAATTAATATTATTTTTGCCTATATATTTACTGACCGAATATTATAAATAATAGAATAGGGTAGGGTAGTGAGTATATTAATAAAGTATATAAACATGACAGAATAATAACGGATAATATTGAAAGGAGAGTATAATTAGTGTCTGTTTAATTGTAAAACTAGTTTGAGTTTCTATTTATCATATATAGAAATTAGACCTGTCAGAGACAAGACGTATAGTCTTCCGAGGAATAAAATTAGAAAGGGAATACACAGGGTGTCCCAACACCAAGTAAACAAGGTGTCCCAACACCAAGTAAACAAGGTGTCCCAACACCAAGTAAACAAGGTGTCCCATCACCAAGTAAACAATTTGTCCCAACACCAAGTAAACAAGGTGTCCCAACACCAAGTAAACAAGGTGTCCCAACACCAAGTAAACAAGGTGTCCCAACACCAAGTAAACAAGGTGTCCCATCACCAAGTAAACAATTTGTCCCAACACCAAGTAAACAAGGTGTTCCAACACCTAGTAAACAAGGTGTCCCAACACCAAGTAAACAATGTGTCCCAACACGAAGTAAACAAGGTGTCCCAACACGAAGTAAACAAGGTGTCCCAATTCAAAGTACACAAGGTGTTCAAACATGTAGACCGTTTTTTATCTAATAAATAGTATGCAACCTGAGGCCGAATTTAAAGAATTTGAGCCGAAGCTTAAAATTGAGACGCGGCTCATATATGGTTGGTTCACTTAAAATTGTATTTAATGTTTCAAGATTTAAGCCGGCGCTCAATTGAAACCGGTTTTTGGAGGATTAAATACGCGGCTCAAATTAATTAATTCGGACTCTCATGAATGCCGCAAATTATTTCAAAGATCAAGGACGATCTTCAAGCTGTTTCAACACTTTTAACAATAGACTTGATATTACTTTACTAGGCTATAAATCTGCTCTAGTATACCTGTACCCTGGTATAATAAACAAGTATTGGGGGATTATAAATATATCCAAGCTGAACTAAGCATTTTAATCTATGCTTAAGTACACACAGTGTAAAAATGTTGCCTGATAATGGAACTTATTGTATCGTTAATCCATTCATAAAGCATAATTTGTATTAGGTTGATTCCTATTGAATGTGGTCCAATGAATAGCATAAAAAGCTTATAGGATAAGGAAAATAAATGTTAGCTGTTTATTAATCCCCACAAATCAAAATCTCTTTTTGTTAATATCGATTAAAAATTGCATTATCCAATAATGTACCACGTATAATTTTGTACAGGACTATCTTGATTAAATTATAATACTACAAGCGCAACTAGGGGCGGGGAGAACCCAGTTTCCCCCCCCCCCCTCCAGCATATTTGGCCCCCTTGGCCTTTGGAGGGGCTCCTCACTTAACTCCAGCATAATTATGATTGTGAACCATCTTTTTTCAAATTTTGTCAATTAAGAAAAATACCAACATTTAGGTTTAACGCTACACGCATCATTTCTAATAGAATTTCCAATTATTTACTTGTTTTCGATTCAAAGAACGTCGACAGTCATTCTTAATTTAACCTCTCACACACACCTGCATATATATTACTTCTCATGAGTATTACAGTACATATACAATTCAAGGTTACACAGAACCTGACAACCTAAGAAGAACAAGAAATTAAATAAGGATTATATCGGACTGTTAGGACTTTTGCAGACTATAAGAGTAAAACAGGGATAAGCCCCTTACTGGCAAACATGGACATCGAAGGACTTCAATCAGAAAGACTATTTTGGATTATGAACAGACAAAATAAAGTCAAATAATGCAAGGAATATACTTACTACTCAGGGCCATGGACCTACGATTAAGGGACTAAAAAACAAAAAACTGCTGTAGACCGACTGTAATAGGGGACTTTATATACATAGTGAATATGACTAAGTCTGGGACTAACAGACACTAAGAAATACATGAAAAGACATGAAAGACCTGATAGCTACGGGTTATGTACCGTAATGAAGTTCTGAACAGGATTATACAAACTTAAATAATTATATTGAATAATATTGCAGGACCTGATAGCTACTGGTTATGTACCGTATGGAAGTTATGTACGGGATTATCCAAACTTCCCTGTAAGTGCTAGCCAAACCTCCCTTCAGTCTGCTGGTCAACTCAACCCTAGGCATTCAACTCTCCTGGTTACTGATCCCAGGTAAACAAGTGTACTGCCCTTCCGGGGGAGATGTAAACAAACTCAGAGCTGAGTTTGCTGTGTTCTATTTACATTTCTCCCAGAAACAGTTGTACAGTTGTTTTGTAAACAAAGATGACATTCTTCCATAATTTATTGGGAAATTATTTTATATCTAAATAATGAAGAAGTGTAAATTGTGACCTATTAGATCACACCTGCAATGTAATCAATGTCAAATATTTTCAAGAATATCTAATAAAATATGAAGTGTTCCCTGATATTCTAGTAGTTTAAACTTTCATATAAAATTTACATCTTTCCAATAAAATCTCGAGGATTTTGTTCAATATATGTTCATTGTTCAGGTTCTCAGCAGCTTATGGAAATCCATATCTCCGATCTCCCCCAACCCTACCCCAATACTCAACCTTTACTCCACCGGACTCATCTAGTCCTGTCTTAGCCCCCCACCAGAGAATCAGTCTACAACCCTTGAGCGAGTTTAGTTTAAGGAGTCCGGAAAGTACCCGGACCGGAGATTCTGGACGGGGATACGGATCAGAGTCAAGCCGAGGATTTGGTATGGATTCAAGCAGCTTAGGAATGGATAGTAATCGAGGGATTGAAAATGAATTGAGTTTTGAAAATCAAAGAGGAAATGAAAACGGACGTGAGAATCGTAGAGGACCAGAGAATGGTAGATTATTTGAAAACGGGCGGTTGTTTGAAAATGGAAGGTTGGGAGATCAAGGGCGACCCATGGGATCCATTATGGGAATTGGGTCTCAGCAAATTCGACGCCATGTATCTGGAGATCTTTATGCTGCAGTCTCTAAACCAAGTCTTGTTTCCGGAGATCTGTACGCCACTGTAACCAAACCAAATCAGTTTAGTACAAGTATAAGCACAAGTCCTGCACGAGATTCTGCAGATTCCAGCCCGCTCCCAATCAATCAATCAAACATATTTATATCAGTTGATAAAAATGATATGGGAACTCATGTTTAAACATTAAAAAGTGAACTTGCCGAGACCAAAAGAACAAAGAAGATATTTCTGTTCCTCTCCTGCTGATATATATCAACAAACAATGTACAAATTGTCATGATATTTATATAAATTAATACATTAAACAAAATATTATTTATAAGGGGAGTAAACAATCCATCCTAAATACCTAAAAATATCCTTTAAATTTAGAACATCCGATTTGGACTGCGAGGATTACGTACAGTGAGTCTCATAAAACAGTGAACAAGAATTACGGTAAAAAAGCAATCTTGTCAATCATGATTGTGTTTTAACACAAACAGCTTTTACAGTTTCTAGTAAACCAACGTTATAAGTTAAATGGGAATGTGATAACACCACAATTCCTGTATTTCATGTTCAACTGAAGTCTAACTGTCGTCTTGCTATTTTATGGGTCTGACTGTAGGAAGGATGGGGCTAAAGGTACGACCATGTCCATCAACTTTTTTCTCTCCGCTCTGTGTTCAGTACACTATGTGCAAATTAGCTTTTTTATTTCCCCTAATCATATATTTTCATTGATTCCAAAGTTTTGGTCGTCATTAAATTATAATCCGTTTTCTCTAACATTTTTACCAAAGCGAATAGAATATCTATTAGAGGGGAATTTACTAGAAAAAAGTGTAAAACGGCCATTTTGTTGTACTGTTTCCATACTGCAGGTGTACTTCACATATTTATGCTATATAACCTTTTCATTTTATAGAAAATCTAAAATTAATATTAAAAGAAAACCAAATTATGAAATAGGCTGGTTTCATAATTGACCAATGATCATTTCACATAGACTCTATGCCTTTTCTTTTACAAACGATGATTTTCCGTTATAACTATAAAGCAAATGATGTTTTTTATTCACTTAATTCATTTATAAAGTTTATTTAACAGCTTTAAAAAATTCGAAATTGAAATGGATAGTCTAGGGAACATACTGTATTAATGTACTTTAAACTTTAAACTCCCTTTCAGGCTGAAAGGGACTGAAAAAATTCATACCGAGAGATTCTCTAAATTCCCCTGTAATATATATTCTATTCTCTTTGACTTTAACTCATCCATCAAAATTTAAAAACTAATTATGTTTATTATTATTCAAGTGGCCTTCACCCAATTTTAAAAGTTAGTAAACTGTCAAATCTCAACTTTGTAATTATAAAAACTTTATGTTTTCATAATTTAAATAATCTAATCTATATCCGTAAAATGCATAATAAGAAAGTTTGCAAACATATTTTTAGAATTAGTATATTTAATGTCATCGCCAAAAATTTTATTTAACATGTTTGTGACTACTTTCGAAGATTTGGGAAGGTTTAAATTTGTCAGAATGAAAAGTACATTTTATGATTTTAGGATGCATTTCAAAGGTGCACCATTTTTGTTTGCAAAATTGATGAATTTCCTTAATAGTTGCTTTCAATTAAATTCAACTAAATAAATGAAAATTCATTCAGATTGCTGCATTGTATATTGTTCAACTACAGTTAAACTCATATTTAAGAAGACATCGGAAGAATTTATATAATGTCGCCTTGAATTGGAATTTGTCCACGTTATCCAACAGCTTCATATAATAGAGGGGTAGGCGGTTTTATCAATATAATAAAGACAACTTTTTATGTAAGTTTTAATTGCTAAAAAGCTTTTTTAGAATTAAACTAGTACAAGTAAATAAAGTGAAGCTTTATTAATTGACGGCTTCCCTTTGTTTCCATGTTTGTGTATTTATACTAATTAAAAGCTTGATATTAATCAAAATTGAAATCGAAACCCGTCTTTATTTTATTGATATAATTGCCTACTACCGTATTTGGGCGTTTATTTCTGTATAAAATCATATATGTTATAAAAAATTACCAGCGGCAAAACCCAATGAAAAATAATAAGACGACATTTTAAAAATTCTTCCGATATCTTCCTATATGTTAATTTATCTGTAGTATATATAGTTTAAACTTACAGAGTGGAAATATATAAATAGCAAATAAAAGGCCCACCCTCGTTTCTCTGAAAGATACCCGGGGCTGATTTACACTTATAATTAATTCCTCTCTATCTATATCTATACTCTGTGTTTAAGCCGTTTTAAATAAAATGATGAAATAAACTAATAAATGATTAAAAACTTTTTAATTTATTTAAATATTTCTCCTTCTTGGCAAAAAGTATGTCTTAGAGGTCTGCACATTTGTAAATTATTTATTTTTGTAAAAAAAACTTGATTTTCTAAAAGTCATGAAACATAATTTGGAAAAATCATCCACGTAGAAGGGGCAAATGTATTAACTTTTTTGTTTTATTCATTCGGGGTCGGATTGCGGAAAAGCTACAGTGAAACCCTTAATAACGAATACATTGAAAGAATTCATCAAATGTCGTATTCTTTACTTTCTGATAATGAAATGTTGTAGATATTTAGTTTCTTAATTAAATGATAATATGGAACTCTTTAAAACTGTTCCCGCATATTCATGGCTATTTATTTATTTTCGCAAATACTGAAATTTACGTAATAAAGTATAAAACTCATTAAATAATTGTCAAGGCGACATTTGATAAATTCTTCCGTTATTAAGGGTTTCACTGTACGATTTGGGATTTTTTATTTGATTATTCAAAGAGTCGAAAAATATCACATAGCCAGTTCAAGAAAAACACTATGTAAAGGTTGTCAAAAAAACTATTTTTTACAAGGTGCGTTCCTAAAACAATGTCTTGATAGGTTACCTCTAGTTACAGAGCAGAATATAAAAAAAGATAAAGAATTTTTTATGTTCAAACATGATTCATATATTAACGAAAATACTGATTACTGCAGGCCAAGGATGAAACCCAATTATAAAAATCATTCATTAGTTTGAAAAATAAAGTAATGAAAATAAAAAAATGAAGTAATAATTATTAATGTTAATTATGACTTAAAGAAAATGAAAAATAAAGTTATCAGAACGGAGAAAAGGAGTTCACAAAAAGTAAGAAAGGGCTGGAGTTGATGAATTAAAATACAAGAGAAAACTGGGGGATTCTATCTCTCTGTAAATTATTCATTTGTCTGTAAATTTAATCAATTTTGTCTGGACTGTTGAATTTACAATTTAGTAAATCTTAGAAAATTCAAGTTAACAATTCTACAGTACTAAAAAAATCTGTTTTTATGTATTTAAAGCACTAAAAAATTAAAACTAAAAAATTTTGAATTTAAAATTGTGAAAATATTTCTACCAAATTTTTTGTGAAATTTTTAAGACATCTTGAACATTTTATCTTAAAGTGAGGTTCTGCAAAAATGCTCTGATATTTTACGAAAATGGTTTGAAATTGGCGAAATTGAAAAGGAATATTTCTGATGGAAACCCTGTACAAAACCTTGGCGAGAAGTGGCAACTTTTTGCTTTGCTCTAAATCCATAGAAAACTGGAAATATATTTTAAACTTTTCCTTAGAAGAAGAATATTTCTAGAATTCAAGTGTAGAGACTATAAACTTCTTTTAAAATACAAAATATAGATAGGTTTTGTTTAGATAGATAGTTAGATAGATTTACTATAGATTGAAAGTTCCCATCCCTACCTGTTTCTTCCCGCCCAGATTTTATAGTTTGCATCCCCTTCTCCTCTCCATTTAATATATTATATCATCCCTCCCTCTTCCTTCCTGCCCACCTCCCGTATGCACCCTGTGTACGCCTCTGAAACCAAACCTGCAGCAATTTATAACAGGAATTTTAGTACCCCTGCAGTTGACAGTAAGTTATGAGCTTGGACAAATAATGTGATTTTATCTAGATTTCAATTCAAACCATTGAGAACACAATTCAGGCACTCAAAACTACAGAGCTAGCGTTTGAGAATCTATATTAGAAGTACAGCATTTTCTGGCTTCTGATTGGCTGTTTTCTTTTTCCAGAGACAGCACTCCATGGAATATCGAATAAAGACTCAGAATTAATCTTTAGATTTCAAAAGTTCATATCCACGCTTCAAAAATTTCTAGCTGGCGGATTTTCTCTTTTGAGTTTTTTAACTACACCCGCATATATTTGTAGCAGACAACATAAAACCAATCATATACTGATGTTGGCAAGAACTGGTTTTTCGGCGCGGGGGGCGGGAGGGGTATTTTATATTCATATATGTTAGCTAAAGCTGGCCGAAAGGCTGTACCGCAAAGGCTAATTTTTTTTGAAAAAATCCAATAAGGTTGTTTGGAATTGTTCAAAGCAAAGTGTTGTTTATTAAATTTGCCAACATATTTAACAAAAAAGTTAACCCAGGTTTGATCTCAAACGTTCGTTAAACCGCTACCGCTGAGATTAAAAAAAAACTCTCTTTTTTAAAAAAATTTTTGAGAAGAAAAATTGAAACTGTTGGAGCTACGAGGTAAATAAGTGTTACCAGCAATGTTGCATAAATATAACCTACCCCTCTGTCTAGAGAGATGTATGAATCGTAGTTTAAAGCGTAGCATGATATACGTGTAAAGGGAAATTTTCTATTGAATAAAGTTCAATTAAAGGAAAAGTACAATTAGAATTTGTCTTTATTACAAAAAGGCAAAGTGTCTCTTTACATCTCCTAATCTTAAGTTCTCAAATATTTGATGATCCATCTGGAACAGTTTGCATAGGATACATCTAGGATATATGTAGAGTTTAAAAAACAAAAACACATTTTAGAAATTAAGTACAGTGAAAACCAGAAAACTGAAGAATAGGAAGACGACATTAAAGCAATGTTTAAAGTTTATTTAATTTGTATTTGTTACATGGATATAGTTTTATTTGAAGCTTAAAAATGAAAAAAATGGTCAATGCATACTACACACATTTTCATGCCAACTGGACTATTTAAAGTCATAAAATTAGTCTAAAAGTCGTCTTGCTTTGACAGATTTTTCTAGCTCTCACTGTATTTAACATCTTTCATTACCCCGCAGAATTAGAGAGGACTGTTCACAAGATTTATAATATGGAAGAGGTAAGAATTGAACTTTTGGACTCAAGGTAGAAACTTATATTAATAGGCGAATATCTCAATCCGTTTTATTATATTTAATTTCGATGTAAAAGTACACATAAAATAAAATTATATTTCTGGCTTAAACCATTTTAAACCATTTTAAACCATTTTAAACCATTTTAAAACCGAAATTTGACATCTGTTGAAATCCCAAGTTTAAAAATATTCAGAGACAACTGTTGATATTTTAAATAATCAAAGATTTTCATTATTACAAGATATAACATTTAATTTTCGTATAATTGTTGTAAAATAAGTTGAAAGGAAATATTCGAGAATATTAGAAAATATTACAAATAATATTATTTGCATACATCC